ATTTTTTTTAAATCCTCTGTAATACCCCTCAATGTTGACTTTTTTGTTAGTTCAATAAAGGAACAATAACTCCAAAATAAAAAATGAAACAATCAAGAGAAAAACATTGTAGTCGCACATGGAATTTAAAGCGTCTGATAAAAAGGACAACCAAAAATAATAAAATAGAAGAAAGACAAGACATACGTCCTTTGTACCACCAATTACTTGTAATGAGAATCACTGTATCCCGAGAGAACTGAGCGAGTTGTTTCTGGCCCTCTTCATCTCCTCTTCGGAAATGCGCTGCTCGATCAAGTAGGTTGCAGTATTGATAGCATTCGGGCTTCCAGTGATTGTTACGATACGATTTCGGGTACCTGGAGCGAAGATGCCCTTTTTCGAGATCTGGATGTTTGCGCCACTAATGTTCTGGATTTCTACGAGAGACCTGCCACCAGGCCCTGAAAGTTTATCGTGCGTTTCAAGTTTTCTAAATAATTAAATGTATGGTCCCCAGACAACTTCAATATAAAATTCCTACTTAACTTAGGAAGGGTACCGGTACTACTTACAAGTTTCAAAGGAGCGCTTTTAAATAAAGCAATTAAAAAAGTTCATACAGGAGACATATTCAGCAATTAAACCTTTTTATAACGAACACAAATGGGATGTATTTTTTGGTTTCGCAGGAATCACAGTGCATTTGAATTAAGGAATAATGAAAGAAGTACTCACCGAGAATGGCGCCAACAATGACCTCTGGTATTTCAACATTCTTGGAATCCTTGTTCTGCAATTCTGCTGGAGTGGGACTCTTATTCAATATGGCCATCTGCTGCCCAGTTCCCAATCCAAAACTGTTGTTGTTGATCGATATGGGAGCAGTGGCTGGCGAGTTTGGGTGCCTGAATGGATCAAACGTTTCGTACCTTTCCAAGCTCGGCCGGGGCGTTGGAGATGTCGCACCTGTCAACGAGCCTCCAATCAAAAACAAAAATATATTTAAAACCTGTGAATAGCAAATCAGTATGCAAAAACCTTCTATCATACTTGTAATCAAACCACTTTTGTTTCCTTTGAAAAGACCTCAGTTATGCATTGCCATTTTTGGAAGAAAAACTCACCTAAGCACTCACCGAGACTAACTTGTCCAATGGGGCCGAACACGCCCGTGTTGGCGTTAGCTGCGGCTGCGGTCGCCTGTTCCATAACGCTCAGGTAATTCGAAACGGGCAGAGCAGCAGTGGGCGCTCCGCCCAGACCCAGACCCATTCCCAGAATACCGTACTTAGCCAGAACAGATAGAGCGGCACAAATCTCAACCAATTGGGCTTCGGTAAAACCGGAACTCCTTAATTGTAACTAAACAAAAATAAAACAACAATTAAACAAACAAACAAAAAATAATTCGAAATGCAGTAACACACAAAAGGTATACATTTTTGTATTAGAATGTAACAGTAATTATCATAATGATGGAATGTATTTTTTCTCCATTTGGATTAAATATCTGGCTAATGGATACACTGGATAGTAAAAAAAGTATATATCGTAATACTACGTAGCTAATAATTAAATAGGTACGCATTTCTTTTTTTGGATGTGTCGTATATATAAATATAATTAATAATTACATGCTTCGGGGGCAGTAAAAAAACAGAGTATGGGGCCTATGATTGGTAGCGAGTTAGAGGAATAATAAAAAAAATTATGATCTTGGAACAGGAACGCTTTGGCCAGCCAAAGCACAAAAAATGATAACGATAATCACATGCATAGGCATTTAACAGGTACAATATAATTATCATACAATAGTAACAAAAATAATTTAAACTTATTGAAAAAAAAAAACACGAATCTGCCACTTACAATAATTAATTTCCCTACACCACCCTACCGTTATTTACTATTTTCAATTAGTTTAAATTATTTTATCGTAGAAAGTCCATCGATTTAAAAGTATGGTCAATTTTAATTAGCTAAAACTCACATTTCCATACAATCAAATGCATTCTTCTAGAAGTTGATTGTACAAATTTCAAGCGGTGCAGTAGTTTGAACAAGAAATGTTTTCCATCGTCTAAAATTGTAAAATTCCTACTTAACTATAATATAATATAAGCAGTTTGATTCAATTGCATGGAAAGTATTATTGAGTTGTTACATTTGTGTTTAAAATTACAACTTGGTACCAATCACAGTCGATTGATTTGCATCATATTGTACCGCATCAGAAGTTTAATTCAAGCAATGGAAAATTCCCAAATATTTAGGAATAATTGTATTGTACAGGCAAAAAAGATAAGAATAAACAATTTAGACGTGTAATTATTGACGAAATTAATAAAAATATTTTTGTGATGGTAATGATTAATTGACGATTTATTTAAGTATGCTAAATGGAATTTTTACTCTTCTAATTATGATAATATAAACTCCCGTTTGCGAATACTTCGTCATCCGTATTTAAAAAAAAAATCAATTATAATTGTCCTAAGCCGGAGTGTTATAATTCGCCCTATAGCCTT